TCTTTTAAGCGGTGTATCTGAGGTGAGTTGTAAGTCTTCGATGGCACTGGCCCATCGCACGAGTTCTTCTTCTCCAAACTCAGTCTGCATGATTCCCAACCCAAAGGGCATGCCCGTGTCTGAATATACTCCTGCTGGGATCGTGATCATCGGGTATCCAGCCTGCGCAGCTATCTGATATGTTTGGGCTACTGAGATAGGCACGAGCAAGCCTGAAAGCGGGTTTCCAGTGTGGTTCAGTGCACCGTCGATGCCGACACGCGTGGTGGTCTGCATGTAGTTGAGAGCTTTCCAGTAAGTATCGTTCCGAATTCCTTGAGTGGCATTAGACATCAGGAATCCATCTTGCCCGGAGCGAAAAGCTGGTAGGCCGTGAAACACTTTGTAACGCCCAGACATTGTGTAGTTCCCATCAAAAGGATACCCTCCTTCGATTCCGTCGTTTTCGTAATTGAACTTGATTCTATCCTCAAGCGATCGCATCTTCGTGTTCTGGAGTCCAGAGAGGTATTTCTTGATGTTACGATAGAAGTCTACCAGAACGATTGTGTACTCTGATTTTTCGGGGTGGCCGATCTTGCCTTGCCAATTCCAATCCCAGCCTGCTTTATTCACAACATTCTCGTGATCAGTAATTTCAGTGAAGTTGACAATGGTACCGCCATTCTTCTGGATGAGAGTTATCAAGCTGCCAAGCTGTGCTTTGGTTTCTTCATTCGCAATAGCCCAAAAACTGTTCCACGGAATGCCGAACGTTGCGTTTTGCAGGCTAGTTTTGTTAGTCAGATATTGAGCGTAGCCTCCCGGTGGAGGTGTCTTTCCGCTCTGGGCTTCGGTGTAATTGTCTCTTGGATCGATCCCGTAGATAGCATCGAGGGCGTACACTGCATCGCGGACAGTTCGGCCGAAGGTGCCAACTGTGTCTTGGTGCTCGCACTCTGGTATGACTCTACATTCAACAGGTCAATAAAGGCTTATCTGCGCGGGGTATCAGTTATCTAGTGATGATTTATCAACGTACCCGTCTCTTGAGGTCAGTCCGACAGTCGGCTTGATGCCAACTACGCCATTCTTATGAGCAGGGCTGATTACTGATGCCGAGTTAGTGACAAATGCGCGTGATCAATGAAACAATGCCATAGCCTTACCACTGCCGTCCGTTTCTGTGCCGAGAGAAAAGGCGATCGCATTGGCAGCAACTCCTACTGCACTGCCGGTGCTACTTCCCATGGGATTGAAGACCAAGTTGTAGGGGCTTCGTGGCTGTCCACCCCGTGGGGAGTACCCTTCTGAATATCCGGTGCTCCGCATGTCTGCCCATTCGCTCATTGTGGATTTCCCAAATAGTACGGCTCCCGCTGCTCTCAAACGAGCGACAACGAAGGCATCGCGAGGGACAATGCTTCCCAATAGTGCATAGCTCCCAGCAGTTGTTTCCATACTGTCTTGTGTCGCAATGTTGTCTTTGACAGTGAACGGGATTCCATGGAGCGGACCGAGAACTTGGCCTGCTTTTCGTTGTTCGTCCCTTTTGGCTGCAATCGTCATGACGTCCGGATTCAATTGCATTACGGAACTATTTCGATGGAACTATTAGTTAGCAAATATGAGCTGGATATACAGCGTAGGAACGCTAACCTGATGTACTCTTGAGTCTGAAAAGTGCGTTGCATGTAGCACATGACCAGCTGTTGAGACGTCAAAATGCCATCCTCCATGGCCTTCTGCATCTGGTCGATGGTCGCTTCTTCTAACTTGAAGTTTCCAGCGCAAACGGGCATGGGGAAGAGTTCTGTAGTATTTTCATTCTGCAGCAGTGGGAACAAAGGAGTCACCAAGCTGGTGCTGGCCACAAGTTGGCCAATGGACGGAGACACAAAGTATGCTAGCATCAGCAAGGGTCCGGATTGATGCCACGCTGGGACTATGGACGGTGGTGCAGTTAAACGCATAGTTGCTCAGCTTAAGCTATCAGAATAGAAGATGATTAAAATGAAGTAAGGAAAGAGGGCCTAGTGCGAGAAGTCATCAATGGTTATCGTGTACGGAATCGGTGTATTATATAGCCAGCGTGAAAACCGGACCTCGAACTGCCACAGGACTCAGAATTTTCTAGAACGACTTGAAGGTCTTAGGCTTATACCATGCATTTCGCCGGATCTTGATGGTAATTGCAATTCTCTCCAGAGGTCCAAATCATCATTTCGGCGCTTCTGTTTTCGGATCCATCACCTTGTGGCTTTGCCTCCTTATTGGAGAGTTTGCGATACGCCGGTATCCCACTTTTCTTACAGCTTGTTTCCTTCAGCAAACTGCGGTCTTTGAGACATATGTGCATGTGGCTAGTGCTCGCTCAATAGTTTCAGCCGATTCACGCGTTAGCTGCATTCGAAAAACCCTTGCGTGGCTGGCTGAATGATTAGGCCAATCTTGCTAGTCCACAGCTGTCTCGCGCAGTGGTTGTCTGCGGCCTAATTTGTATTGTGTGTTACATACAACGCATTGAATGCATCCGTTGAACCTTGAGACCACTTCTTGTCCTTGAAAAACCAAGCGAATTAATTCCGAACGACCTCTTTCTGTGGTGAATCAATGTCTGCATGCTAAACGATTTGTCAAACCTCATACACCGTGAATTAATGGAAAAGTCTTCTGAGGCCAGGCGTAGGGCTTCTCCTAAATTAATTGTAGTGCCGATCTCATGAAAGTGGTGTTCCCAATACTTCCATGGCATTTGAACTTGATCAAAGTCGCTCAATTCAGAAGAATTTAGGCTCAGATTCAGATGTGCCGAAAGGGATTCAGGCACCAAGATGTTGAAGTCCTTACGCACCCATGAATGCATGACTTGTAGCGTCTGTATTCTGATTATGGCCAATCAATTTTCGTTTGTTGGACGCAAACTCATATTGCAACTTCCGACTTCTTTAAAAATTTGATCAGGAAGTTGCGTTAATTGGCGCTCAGGTCTGCATCACAACTGCGATCCTCTATCTCTTTATAGTCTCCCGTGGGCTCGTCCAAATCAAAGCCATCCAAAAGATCAGACAAGAACTTTTAGTTCACTATCAGATAAGTTACCAAAAACCTGCCCTAAATCTCTTTCTGTATTATCAACATGTGGAGAAGCACCTCACTCTCATACAATGTGTATGGCAACCAAAATGTGCTGAGAGATCAACCAAGGAGATCAATGATAATCCCAATCGATATACCAGTCGAAGAAAGAAGGGATGTTGATGGAATTCATCGAGCACCTGGATATCCGGTGTATGCCTCACCTGATTGCCTAGTAGAATAAGCTGTGCTGGGGTGACTGAAATCATTCCTGAAAACCACTAAAAGATGGTTGACAGACACATTGAACTTCCCGTGGCATCCCAACTTTGCAGATCAATTACCGAATACTATCAGTGGCCAGCCGTTGATGGGACGTTGCACCACGAATATCCTTGTCGTCAGCGACTCTAGTCTGAACTTAGCACACCAAATTAGCGGTCAATCGACCTCTCAGAGTCGGGAAACCGGACGATCCGCTTTATGCGCTCCATCAAGATTACGACCGAAGTCGCGAGTCTTCACCTTACAGGTCCGTGATGCCCCCGTCGGGTGCCACACCATGTTCTATGGGGCCCCGCAGCGGGTTCTAGACTGAGACTGACCGTTGAAGGACAGCGTCGCTTTCTTCTTTTTCTTCTGATCGTCCTTCATTTCTCCACGAGGCGTTACCGAGTACCCGGATCACCTTACATCCCCTGATCGTTAAAAGTCTCTTGCTCAATCGATTCAGTCCTTGAGACTCTCGCATCACCTCCAACGAAACAAAAATGGCGGAACCGACTCCAACTCCTGCCGCTTCGACTCCGGCTAGCCCCCAAATTGAAGCCGTGGCTGAGCCCGAGCCCGAGCCCGAGCCCGAGCGGCCCGCTCCCGAAGTGGAGGTAGAAGTCGATCGGGAAGAAAATGACTCGTCTTGGGGCGATGATGAAGCTTCTCGCGCCAGCACCTCTCTCAAGTCAGTCACGTCAACATACGAATGGAAGCATGGTCGCCGGTACCATGGCTATCAATCCGGTTCCTACAATTTCCCCAATGACGAGGAGGAACAGGACCGGCTTGATATGATTCATCATGTCTTCTTCAGATTGATGAATGATCGCCTGTACCTTGCGCCCATCAAAACAGAGGGGCTGAAGGTTCTTGATATCGGCACCGGCACGGGTATCTGGCCTATTCAGTTTGGTGACGAGCACCCCGAGGCCGAAGTGATTGTCGGGAACGACCTCAGCCCCATCCAGCCACAATGGGTGCCGCCGAATGTCAAGTTCATCATCGACGACGTTGAGCTAGACTGGGCGGAGCCCGAGCAATACGACTACATCCACTGTCGTTACATGGCAGGTTCCATCAAGGACTGGCCTCGGCTGGTGAACCAAATCTACGAGAACCTGAAACCTGGCGGCTGGGTCGAATTCCAGGAATCTGCAAACACTCTGTACTCCGAAGATGGCTCACTTAAGCCTGACAACGCCATGGTCCAGATGATGGACGGACTCATGGAGGCCTGTGAGAAGATTGGGAGAACAATGGACCCAGCACCATCCTTTAAGCGCTGGACTGAAGAGGCTGGTTTCCAGAAGGTGGGCGAGCAAAGATTCAAGCTGCCCATCGGCAGCTGGCCGAGAGACGCCAGATTGAAGGAGGTCGGCACGCTTATGGGAGTTAATTTCCTGGAAGGGGTAGAGGCATTCACTGCCGCGCTGTTCAAGGACGTTTTGGGATGGTCTCCAGAGGAGGTCACTGTCCTCAATGCTGGGGTTCGAGCGGCGGTAAGAAAGAGAGACATTCACCCCATCTTCGACTTCATTGTCGTCACTGGCCAGAAGCCTTTCTAAGTTTTAAGGCCAGAATCAACAATCTTGAGTGAGTTGGGTGACCTCTCTTGAGGCATTAGCAGCGCTGGGTAGACTATCTCAAATTATCATAGCAAAGCGCGTAATTCAAGAGTCCTGCTTCCGTGGTGTTGCTTCCATAACATCTTCGACATGATCCGAAGCTTCCTCGTAAGCATCCACGTGAGCCTTTGAAAATTCTCTAGCCGGGATCCCTCTTGCAAAGAGCATGTCCAACTCCTCGTACGTACGGCCTTTACACTCAGGTAGCCGGAAATATGACCAAATGAAGATGATCCCGGCGGTTCCCGCCCAGAAGAAGCCGGCCTTGCCTCTCAGATTCCACTCTGTAGGGTTCCTTCACATCGTCAATAAGCATCTGTTTTCGCGATTAATATCCGTTTCAGCGAGGTGGTACTCACATCATGTAAGTCTGTAGGACTTGTGAGACAATATTGACAAGCTGGTAGGCATTTCGCGATAGTACGACTGTGAGTGGACGAAGCCGAACCGAAGACGTCTCGCTGATGACGCTATACTGTTGCCTTTGTTAGGATCCCTCTTCCTACGTGCCAGGTTGACAGGGAGACTAAAGGGACTTGGATCTCAGTGACGTACAGTAATAGGTCCAATGGTGAGAGACTGTAGTCGTCAGCTTCGCCCTTTTGATTTTGGTATTTCTGATGTAACGGGGAGTCTCACTCACGTAAATAAAAAGCCAGAAGACACAAAGACCGCCAGATGGCCAAAGACCCTTCTCACCAGCGGACACGTCAAGAATGCCTATAATGAACAGGATAACAGTGAGGGCTCCAATCCCAGTAACATAAATCGCACGTCGTCCCCAATGAGTGATGAGCCACCATGATCTAAACATACAGAGTTAGCTCGACCTCAATTATCGGACTTTTTAACACCGGGACTCTTACAGAACGGTCCCAAGGAAAGCCATCCCCTTTGCTCCCAGACTCAGTTCGAACGCATTCGCAGTCTTCATTCCCGCGGTAGTGAAGAAGTACGTCGGAGTGTAAGCGAAGCTGCTGCCAGACATGACTTGGCCTGCAAACGCAACACAGCATATTTCGGTGCGTCGACGATCAATTCCCTTGAAGCAATCAAGATATGTCACACCTCTTGTCACGCCAGATTCGACCTTAGTTGTGTGAACCATCATTGCTAGCTGGGCATTGATTTGGTCTTGAGTCTTGTCGCCACTGAGCCGCTCGATGGACCGTCTAGCATCCTCGAGGCGATCTTTTCGGACTAGATACCACGGACTCTCAGGTGCCAGATATGAAACAACCATCAGAGGGACAGGCCAGAGCTTGTGACGAGGTTTCTATTAGGTGGTGCGACTTGACAACTAGTACCAGGTAGACTCCCAGGGCAAACTCACCCATTGAATAGCGAAAGGGATCCGGTAAGCCATCTCGCCTTCAATGCTTAGACAACCGCGGAGGACACCAGCAGCAACAAGCTGACCTGTTGCCCAGCAAAGATTTACCTGACTCGGGTTAGTCGTGACACTTGATGGCAGCCCATAGATACAACGTACATATGTAGTCATGTAACCACGAAGGTTCGTGGGACAGACTTCGGAAGCTATGGCATGGCCAGTCAGTAGTTGTCGGATTAGAAGTCTAATTCGACCGCGGCATACAGCTAACTACGCAGGGGCCAATTAGGGGCCCTATTTATAATTATCGTAGCTAGCCTAACCTACGGTTAGAACCTCCTTTTTATACTTATATAAATATTTATATAGTTTAATTAATCTCTTTATTAACCTATAGTTCGAACTAACTACCCTATAATAAGGATATTAATACTAATTAGTAGTTAAATTCTATTATTATAAATTAGTAAAGTATCTTACTATATAAAAAAGACGACCTCTTAATACTATATAAAATAAGAGATTTATACTAATTATTTTTATAGAAGTAAACGAAAAAGGAGGCAATTTTTAAATATTATATAGAATTAAATAATCGTAGCCCCTTACTACTTATAAGAGGTTAACGTTTACTATATTAAACTACGTTAATTAATAAAACTGTTTAAATAACTAGTCTTTTATTATCGCTTTAAATAGCTTTTTTACTAAATAACTTTCCTACGGCTAGCCCGTAATTAAAAATTAACTAGCTAAATTAGTAAAAAGAAATACTTACGTAATAATTACTTACCTAATTAATTAGCGTAATAAACGAGCTTAATAATACGGTATAAAAAAGTACCGCGCGATTAAAAAAAAAGATCTTTAAATATAAATATTTTTAATAAGCGTAATAAGAACTTATATAAGAGTTATTAAGCTAAGAGATTTATAGTATATAAAAAGGCCTAATATTACGAGGATTTTATAAATACGACCTCGAAGCTTACGATCTAAATAATCTCCTCATAACCCCTTTAACTACCCCCTAAGTATTACTTAAGAATATAATATAAAAAACGGTTTAATAAGGGAGGAGGAGATTTAGAGGTTTTAATAATATTAAGTTAAGAGTATCGTAAATCTTAGAGATTAATTTAAAAAAAAAGCGGCTACCCTAAAATAGTTTTACGACCTCTTATTAAAATTATAATTAGCCTAAAAAAAGGCTAAGAAAACGAGGATTTAAAGGGGAAAGAAAAGAATCCTTTAAAGGGCCGCTAAAGAGCTTCTTTTTTATATTAGCTCCTAGTACGAAATTACTAATTTCGAGAAATTAACTAAGTAATAAAAAGAATTATTAATAAGTAATAATTACTTAATAATAATTAAGCTACGAAAAAGACTACTTAAGGGATATAAAATAGGGTACTAAGAAGTAGCTAAAAAAAAGATTTCTAAAATAATTAACTTTACTTAGTACGAGCGACAAAGTAGTAAGTATCTTTAATAAATTTTTTAAATCCTTAATTTTATAAAAAAGAGGGCTTAATTTTACTAACCTTACTTAATAACCTACCTAGCTTCTAATAGCCTACCTAGCTCCTCTACGAGCCGCCCGGTATTTATTTTTAACTATTTTTCTAAAATACTACCCTAAAAAAAATAAGTCGAGAAAAAAAGTAATTTAGAAATTACGGAAAATACGAGGCTTAAGAAGTTAGAAATATATAGAATAATAGAAATTAGTAACTAATAAAGATCCCGAGACTAATTATTATATCTTTTTATAGTAATATAAACGTCTACTACTATTATTAAAAAAGGAGCTACTAAAGCCTATTTTTTTATATTAAATAAAAAAGAGGATTTTAATAAGTACGATAGTTAGTAATTTAGAAAAATAGTAATAATTACTAAAAATAATAAAAACGAGAGTAGTAGCGAGATAGTAAAAAAAAGCGGGAATTATTTAGACTTTAATAAATTCGTTAAGTAGTAAAAGTACGGATTTATTATAGCTAGCGCGCGGATTAAATATATTCTTATTAAAATTAAATATATTAATAATTACTAATATAGGCATAAGCTAGAGCACGACCCTTAGTAAGTTAGGGTAAAAAAAAAAAAAAAAAAACCCAATCTTAGATAGAATCCTAATCCTTTATAAGTAAGTAAATATTAACTTAAACTATTAGGGGACGTAAATATATAAGATCACAAATTAGCCTAATAATAAATAAATTAACGTAGTATTAATCTATTTAACTAAGGTTTATAAGAAAAAGGGGTTATAGGGGTAACCCCTATTTTATAAAATTATAAACGACCTTAGTTATTAATTAAATAAATAGTTCGCGAGCATAAGCTTAGGAATTACAAAAGTAGTTAATAAATTCTTCTATAGGCGAGGGGTATTATTAACATAATTATAATTATAAGAACTATACGAAATCTTAGTAGTAACGATTATAAAAGAGGAATTCGTACTATAAAATATTATAGCTAGCTAGTCGTAATAAATATATTAATAAAAATTAAGGCTACGAGTACTAAGTAAATAATATTATAGTTATAAATAGCTTCCCTAAAGCTATATTTATAAGTCGTAAAATAAGTAAGGCTTTAGTAATTAATCGTAATCTTATTAAAAGGGGTTCTTAGTAAAAATAGCTAAAAGTAATCGTAAGATCTAATACTAAGTTAATTACTAAAAAAGCTATAAGAAGTCTATTCTTAAGCCTAGCTTAAGTCTATACTATATATAAGTCCGTTTATAAATATATCCTTTATTAATAATTACTCTTATTTATTAAGTAATCGCTTAGTAAATATTAATAAGTGCTTACTTAGAATAATTATAATAATTACCTTATTATATAATTACTACTTCTTATTTATATATAACTTATTTATAGTTCTTCCGTTCTATAAGAATTACTTTATATTCCCATACTCTTATATATATAGTATACCGTAGCTACCGTAAGCTTACGGGGCGGGCCCTAGTTTTAGTTATATATATTAGGTCGTAATATAGAACTAGGTATAGGTTAATAGAGCGTATAATCGCTTTAATAAATTTAAAAAAAGGGTAAATAACCTAGATTTCCTTTTTATAATTATTAACAGTAATTTATTATTATAAAAGGATATATAGAAATAAAATATAATATTAGAAGTACGATAATTAATAATTCTACTTATTTTAATTTATAGCTCGTCGCTATTATTAATACGAAATTTAGTATTAATTAGCTAATAGGAAAAGAAATAGACGACCCGAAATTATTAATAATACGTAGTAACGCAAGGATCGTATATAAATACTAAAAATATAGTAGTAAATATAAAGTAATTTATAAATCTTAAAAAAATCTTCTTAAAAAAGAAATTATACTCTAGGGGGAAGTACGAGGTTTTATAAAAAACCCTAACGATATTTTATAACTATTATAAAAAAGTCGGGATTAGAGAATACTAGTATTATTTAGTAATTAATATTATATTTATAAGCAAAGCTTCTAATTATTATTATAAAATAGTACGTAATTTTAATTAGAACGACTTTCTTAATATTATTAACGTAATCCGAAGCCGCTTTAAGACTTATAATAAGAATCTAGAGCTCTTATTTAAATTATAAGTAATTTCCTTCGTATTTATAGTTAGAATAATAAAGAGTAAATTGCGAATAGAAATCTTAAAAGAGCTTATCGATCGAATTAATAAGCTAGTAAAAACCTAGTTAAACGAGGGGATTAACGAGCGGAAAGTTAAATATTTTTATATTATAGTCTAGTGCGTATTAAAAATAAAAATAACCTTATACTAAGTACTTAAAAACTACGAGACGCTTTACTTAAGGCTAAGATCTAGCTTTAATATTAAAGCGAGAATATTACGCTAAACCTACTTCTAAATATACGACGGCCCTTATTAATAGTATTAAGTTAACTAAATATATAATAAAAAAAAAAAAGAGACTAAGTATAGTAATCGCTAATAAGGAGGCCTAGATTCGTTAAATAAATAAAAATTTAACTCGTAAGTAGGGTAATAAAAAAAGCAATACTTTATTTATAAAAAAAATAGATATTAATTAAGTAACTACTCTAAGAAAAAGCGTATTAAATTATATAAATAATATAAAAAGTCGAGGGTAATAAATAATAAAACTAGCCCTTATTAGTTTAGCTAATTCCTCGTTATATATAAGGGTAAATCTGGGGGTACGGAACTTAGTAATAGTAACTAAAGTAACGGCCTAGAGTATCCGCCCCCTTTAAAAAATTTAAAAAATAAAAAAGATCTCGCCCCTTATATATTACGGCCAGCTAGTCATAATAAATATATTAACAAAAGTTAAGGCTACGAGTACTAAGTAAATAGTATTATAATCGTAAATAGCTTCCCTAAAGCTATATTTATAAGTTATAAAATAAGTAAGGCTTCGGTAATTAATCGTAATCTTATTAAAAAGGGTTTTTAATAAAAATAGCTAAAAGTAATCGTAAAATCTAATACTAAGTTAATTACTAAAAAAGCTATAAGAAGTCTATCCTTAAGCCCGGCTTAAGTCTATACTATATATAAGTCTCATCCCTAAATATATCTTTTATTTTTTAAGTCGTCCTCGATTATTCTAATCTAAAATAATCGTTTAGCCCCTAAGTCGTATTAAATTATTCTAATTTAGAATAATCCTTATTTTATTAGTACGTAACTTATTTATAGTTCTTCTATTTTGCGAGGAGTAGTTATATCCTTATTTTACTTATATATATAATATACTTAGTTACCGTAATTAGTAAACTAGCCTCTAAATTAGTTATATATATTAAGTCGTAATATTAACTTCTCCTCTTAAAAGTCTAGTCCCGTAAACCTATATAAATAAGTAGTTATAGCCTAGGTTAGGGTCCGTTAAGTTTATTTCCGTAATATTTTAATACTATATTAAGTCGTATTTAAAAATTTAATCTTCGTAAAAGTTATAATAATAAGATTAAGTATAATCGT